AAGTGGGTGGCAGTTAGGGGAAAGGCAGTTCACCCTAAGGCAAGGCGGTGTGAGCATCCGTACCCACGCAAGGTGAAAACCCTGCATGAAGGTCGACATGGCGGCTCCAGTCATTGCTCACGGAAGTGGGGTGGCGGGGGCAGAGAACCCATGAGGGGATATTGGGTGGCCAGGGGAACAAAAGAGACTCACTTGCTGTCGCCGTCGCCGTCGCCGATGCCTGAGCGTAACCGACAAGACGAGAGTCGTCTAAGTCGAATCTCGGGTGACATTGACGATGGCGACAACTATCTTCTATGGCCCTTTGTGTTCCGCGTGATAGGTAAACGCGGAACCACATGGGCGGCATTCCACAGTGAGACAGTGACTGATACGCGCGCGCGCGCGCGCGCGCGCGCGCGCGAGAGAGAGAGAGAGAGAGAGAGAGAGAGAGAGAGGTGCACCCTTTCGATATGGGCAGTTCAAGTTGTAGCAGACTTGTAACGTTTCCACCACATCCCGTCCGAGTGGGGATTGCCATTGAGAAAGGGTGCAAATGGCTTCGTTCGCGATGATAGGGCGTCTGAAGGGTTTCGCTCGCGATGATAGGGCGCCGCGTGGGAGCGTCACGCATGCACAAACACCAGCCACCCATGATTGGTGGCTTTTTGCCAGGGGATGGAGTTAGGGACGTTGGTTGTTCTTATGAATGTCTCAGGACTTTAGGGTTTTTTAGCAATCCATCGTAGGCGGTTTCGATGCTGTTATGCTCAGTGATCCGTGGCCGTTCGATGCCAGAACGACGCTGTCCGGTGCTGGGGTGTTGCCCTCTAACCTGCTGATGCAGGAGCGTGAGGCCTGGTAGAGAGATCTGGGGATGCTTTGGGTTGGGCATCCCAAGGGACGACCAAGGGTTGATGCTGGGATGACGCTGGTCGGATCTGGGGCGAGTTGTGTTGCCCTGTAACCCAGCAGGGTGGGGGCATGAGGCCTGGAAGAGCTCAGCAGGGAGTAAGACGGTGTTGGTAAGTCTTAGAAGGGTTTGTCAGGGAACCTGAGGGTAGTGAGCATTTGTAGGACCTCTGTGGCAGACTATTGCATGAGTAATTCCCTAATAGGCATTAGATACTCAGGGTCCTCCTCATGTTTCTGAATCTAAAAAAAAAAAAAAAAGAGGGATGCCTCGTCACGCCTCTCCTGCGGGGCTATTGGCCTGAACAAATGGTCTCCTTTCCCTGTTGGAAAAAAATGAAAACAAAACAACAAAATAAAAAACAAAGAAAAATACAAAACAAAGAAAAATACAAAACAAGATAACAAAACAATGATATATATGAAACACAGCGGTCACTTCGATGTGTGGAAGGAACACTTCCGACAGAATCCTGCTAGCATGGGATTTCGAACGGCTGCGAACGCAAGAGTCCCAATTCTTCGGCGGCAAACTGGAGTGGGACCCGGTAGCCTGCGAAGAACGGGTAGCGCAATACCCACCCACCCATGCACACACGCCCCACCCACCA